TATATATATATATATATATATATATTATTGTATATAGAATTGTATAAAAATATCCACATTAAATTATCTTAATAATATCTTTGTAATTAATAAGAATGATAATAATATTTTATACCATATCCTTTCAGAATTGTTGTGGTGTCATCCCTCTAATGAGTCTATTGTGGACTCTTCCACTTACTATAAAAGTAGTAGGAAAGTAAGCCTTGCGGGAACGGTAATAAATATTGAACACTGGTCAACCTACACTCACTCCCAAGTTGTGTAATACTCTTCTGTTCAATACACACTTTATCTGCAACCTCTTGTTTTGTTATTTCTTAACCATATACTTGGTTACAACAAAAATATAGATAGTCATGATACTTGAGATACTTTTTTTTTTATTTGACAATTCTATGACTTCTTTGAAAATATACTGCAATGACTTTCCGTTACCTTCTACTAGGTTTGGAATTCAGAGCTTTAATTCTCTTAGGCTACTTGTCTAGACTAGTTTGCTATTTAACCAATAGCTTGGAGGAGATATCTTTCTCATGGACATTCACGCGAAAGTGAACGCAACTGACTAGGTCGGAATTTAAACTTGATTTTCGATTCCATTTTCCTCCCCGATAACAGTGATAATACATACACGCAAAATACTAACATCATAGTATTCATTTTATAATAAAAACATTACGACCATTAGTATTGCAGTGTTTTACTTTTGCTTTCTTATTTTAATTTGGCCGAATTTCTCTAGCAGAGTTCGAAACTATTTCTTTTCGGATCAGAAAACGCAAAGAGATGATGGGCAATGAAAGAACAAAATTAAAATAATTTTTGGTCACTTCATGTCTACGGTTCGCATTGCTTCCCCGTCAGTTGAACAAGAATAGATCTTTATCCTTTGTTTCCTGTTTAAGATTGAGTTTCCGGTTATTCTAAGTTTTTTTTCTCTTTAACTTCAAGTAGTCTCTTTCGTCTTAGTGGCATTATCAATTATATTATTAATAATTAATATCATTATATTATTATTATCATAGCAATATAAAAGAATGATTTCTTACAACCGAACTATCTTATGGCGACCAGGAATTCCCTCTAGATATTTGTTTACTCCTCCCGATATCATTCCAGAATTAAATAACAATAGATAAGGTTATCCATAAAGATTTTTTATTATTTCTTATTATTACTAAGAATACCAATGACAATTTCTTATTATTCCTTAGTATTTCTTCTTCTTATTATTATTATTAAATAATAATAGCTAAGAATGACCATGAAAATTTCATATTTCTTATGAAAAAATAATAGTTAAGGACGTTCATGAAAATTTCCCGGTATTCCTCTTTGAATCTTCTGTTGTATCTTAATTCTCAAGTTGATAACAATAATAATAATTTCCTTGTGAGTTCCACGAATATAAAATGGAACCTCGCCTATTGTATCATTAAATATTTGATTTTAACAACTTAAAAAAAAAATATTACAATAACAATCATAAATACGAATGTATTTCATTACTTTTATGAGGGTACAAATGAAAAACTAGAAATTGACAATTTTTTCCTTTTCACTGAAGCAGGCGTTAAACACGTTAGCGTATTATAGCCTCTTTCATTTTATTTTTCGTTATTTTTCTCATTGAAATCAAACTGCGTCTGTGATAGCTCTTTTCCTTTTTTTTTCTCGCGACCAAAACGCAATAATCCATTATTTATGAGGTATTGACAGGGCGTAACGTAAGCGCTAACTAGTTAAGGAACAACAGAATTATAATCTGATAATACAATGTTATTTTTTCATTTGCATTTTTAGCTTTATCTTTCACAGCGTTTCCTTCGGGTAAGGACCTTATCTTCCATAATGTGCAGAAAATCTGTAACAGATCTGAAAACTCCTCTCTAATTTGAAATATCTTTAAAATGTTGTTAAAAAAAGGGCCTGGCACGAAAAATGATATCAAGAACAAGAGCTATTGAAAATCCCAGAGAAAGTTATTTCGTTTTAACCAACCAATATTTATGGGAATAGATTCATGTCAAGATCTACAAGTGTACAAGATATTTTTCATAACTCAGTCATGTTAAGTTGCTGTGTAAGAACATATCTGTCAGGAATTTCACCATTCTGCTATTTTTCAGATTTCAATACAACTTGCTCTAACAGCTGGCAAACATATTGCTCCGTGATATTCGTCAAGATACGCTTAACCTCGCCCTGATATTTTCGCTATGTACCTTAGCGTGCTTCTTACAATGAAAACACTAAAGCATATCGAAATCATTTCCTTTTCTTCTTGCATAATTCTGTTTGGGAACAGACTTCACAGAGTCTATGTAATATTTCACCTTAACGACAAACCTTAAGTGCTGAACTTGGGTCAGGTTATATTCACACCTCTTGGGACTGCGTCACTATGACTGTGTATCAACCACAAGCCTCTTTGCTAACACAGGTTGTCTCCCATTGTAAATACATGAAATAAATATGCAGATGGGAACGTGCCACCAAGGCCTGCTTGTCTCGCTCATCGTGTTAACTTAAACTGACATCTCCATGTCGTTGCGCTTGACATTTTCGGTATGCATAAATGATGACCTTTTCGCTGAAAAGGGTGGTTGGCGATTGCAACAGAGGAGAACCAGAAGGCTTTTCTATGTATGGGCGCCATGTTAATCTTGCCTGTCTTCAGGACATGCGTGATTGTACGCCATATTAGTGAAAGCAGGAGTTTGTATTCATCTTTTTCTTTTTTTGGCCTTCATGTCTTTCTAAATGAAAACATTTGCAAGCTCTCGTATCAATATAATTACATTCATTTATACAAACACAGACATGTAACAGGTTTAGATAAATATTTAGACATACTGCGTAATATATTCATACGTATGCCGTAAACAACTTCTTGCTTCTAAGCTAATGTGGATGAATGTCAATACGGTTAGAAATATCAGTTATGAATTGGGTAAGAAGAATCTATCTTTCAATGGATATTTTTGTAAGTTAATAAAACAACCCGATTTTTATTTATTATATTTTCTTGCATTACATTGCTTATTGTCAATTTCATCTGTTTTCAGAATTCTTCCTGTGTAACGCGCATGAAAGAATGTGAATCGATGTTCTATCAGGAACATGCGTAATCACAGAAACATATTTTGGGAGAAATAATTTAAATATATCCCTATTCTGCCTAAAAACTGTATTTAGTGTTGACTTTGAAAAGCTAACGTGATTCCGAAAATGATGCCTTTCATTAGTCAAGATTGGGAATTTTCTTACTATTTCAATGTTTACTCAGATCATTTTAGGAATCTGTTTTAAAAATAAAAGATGTTGCTTCATTTTCTTTCGAGAGAGAATCTTGAGTAAACAAATTATCAGAAATATGAAATTGAATTCTAATAATGAAACATTATCCCTTTTTTTTTCTGAATTGGCAATTACATTTACCGAGTTTTCATCTCTCAGATTCTCGCTATTAATCCGACTTTTATTTTACTTATTTATAACAGATAAATATAATAACGCTTGTCAAAATATGAAAAAAAGGAGCTATAAATCTTTTCTGTTAATACATTCTCCTGAAACTTACATAACGAACATCATAAATATTGGGCATCTCGTGTTTTGCACTGTTTCAGAGCTAGCAGAAACCATGAACGGGAATTAGATTGATTCTAAAACAGAAGCCATGATCGGGGATTGGAATGGTAATAGTGATGGCACCTACCCTGAATCGGTCATGACATTTCACTATGTTAAATTAATAAATTCTAAACATATTAAAAAGCCTTGAGCATAGATTAGTCATTAAAAAATAGTACAGAAGATAAGGATTTTGAACACAGGTTAGACAACACTTGGGTCACTTTTGTCCAGTACGATGCTATACAATCAAGATATAGGCATGGAAATTAGGGCACCTGGAGGTGGTGTAATGGTTAGCAAGATTGTCTCGCTAGAACAATTAAGACTGTGTAGTGAGTTCAATCTTTATTGAGGGCCCCCTTACTTCCGGTATTGTGTCACATCCAAGCTACCCTTAGAAAATCAGAAAAATAGGTATGAAAATTAAAGCAATGTTTTTAAATAGCCTCATCATATCTGAAATTTCATTAACCCCTTCAGTAATGAGTTTCCTAATATCTGTATGCAACCTTTTTTCTCTTTCAGATCAGTGATAAAAAATGACTTCAAACGAATGAATCCTTTAACTATTAAACCTTCATTAAACCTTCATTAAACCCTATAGACTGACGCTAAACAACAATAACAAAGCGTTTTAGCAAATAACAATAAAAAAGTCATTTAAACATTTCCAGTAGTAGAAAGAAAATAAAATGTGTAGAACATCTACAGAGACACTTTATTATAATTCTATTTGTCCTTAGCTTAGCTCGACCCTTACACCCTGACAATTCCTCATAAATAATGGACTATTCCGTTTTGATTTAGTGGAAAAAAAACAGTCAATACATATCCAAGACGCTACTTGGTTTCAGTGAGAAAATGAAAGAATGCAAGTAAAGAAGAAAAAAATGTTTAACATCTGTTTCAGTGAAATGAAAAATTACAAATGTTTTCATTTGTACCCCCTTACTTCTTAAAATAACGTCCAGCATTCATATTTATGACTGTTATTGCAATATTTTGCTAAAGTTGTTAAGCTCAAATATTTAAAGATGCGATGGGGGATTTCTATGGATATCTTATTGTCGTAGAAATCGCCGTGAGCTTATTCAATAATTAAGTTAAGAATTAAGATTAATCAGAATTGCTGTTAACTTTCTTCACTATCAAAAATATTATAAAAGCTATAACATTTTGTGGACTTAATATTCTTGTAAAAATATTTTAATAAAAAGATGTTATAAATTTAAATCGACAGTAACAGTACTGTCCAGTTAACATTTTCCTGTACGAAGAAGGCTATTTTTGCCATCAATGTACTCACACCTTGAAATTCATAGGGTTTGTATTAATTCCAGGAAAGACTCTGGTGTACGTAGAAACACTGGTTCCTGTAAGATTACTGAAGTTAAGCAACGTCGAGCCAGGTAAGTGCCTAGACGGGTGACCGCTTGAAAATACCAGGTGCTGTAAACTTGGATGTGAAGGTGGTGTAATGAAAAATGGCAGGGAATTGTTAATTGAAGAGCCAAGTTCCAATTCCCGTTCAGCTCGTTTTTATTCACTTACGCGTAAAATACCACTAGGAAAGTTATGCTGATTTTCTAAGCATGGCTAAGGTGGGAACAAGGCCGCAAAGGGGAAATTTATGAATCCACATCTTCTCCCTCAGCTATGGGTTAATTAGTAAGACTTGTATCATTAAATCAGTATTTAAAAAAAAAGAAAAACAACTTTCAATCTAAAACAATTTTTTGGCTTTAAATAACCTGCAAAGTGTTGATAAACCGTAGAAAACGTAGCAAATCTCAATTACTAAAAGACAACCTGAAAATAAAGGCGGGTCTTCTGCGCGAAAAATGTTGAATTTCGAAATCGATTTACTTCATATTAATTTAGTTATGACTTTCCCTTAATTATCGAAACAGTAAATCAATCGATTTTTTCTTCTTATGAACCTCAATCTTGTTTTAATCTAAAAAGATTGAAAACATACAAATGGAAAAACACTGACTGACAGCTTCAGTTTAAGAAGAACGATTTTTCCAATAATTATCACCTTCAAAAATAAGATTACACCAGAGATGGCCGCTGCCATCTTTCCAAAGAGGAGCAACAAAAATATATATTCAGAGTATATACTATTGGCAACCCAGTTTGCACGAACACTAGTAAATAATGATAGTATTTTTACGTGAACATTAATTTGGGGTTACATAAAACAATTGTACTACACTATTATCCTTTGAGTATAAGAATAAGCGAGTGTAAGGGCCAATGATCTGTTTCGTTCCGTTTCTCTACCAGACATTCGTGTAATAAAACTTTGATTTTCTAAGTGTTTAATGACAAATGAGTTTATCTGAAATAAATTCCTCAAAGTCATTTGTCGAACCAAATATATTATTTATAAATTATTATTTCTCACAAGAAGGCATAAAGGGGGGGCACATAAATTGAGGACATGAATATTTTTAATTTGCGTTATCAGTGAATAAAAAGATAAGAGTTGTATTTAAGCAATGGGTGTGCGGCTGGTGTAATTGATATTGGTGTGAAAAATGGAATCGGATAACAGAGTTCAAATTCCATGTTAGTCTGTTCAGTTAAGTTTTTCGTAGAAATGTACTTGGAAAATATATGGAGCTAATTTTCTCTACTCTGGGTTAAATAGCAGGACAGACTAGGCAGTCTAGCATGGAATGTAACCTGTCTAAGAGAAGGAAAACTCTGTATTCCAAGCCTTGGAGAAGACAATTCGAGACCACTTCAATATCCTCCCCACTAATTCAGATATAATAAACACAATTTGTGGAAAGTCGTGACAATGGGTAGTTGGAAAACCATCGGCGACACACACACACACACACACACACACACACACACACACACACACACACACACACACACATATATATATATGTGTGTGTGTGTGTGTGTGTGTGACACACATATCTACATCAAATAAACGTTTATTACCGATAGATACATGTATTTATGCCTACGAATTTAGTTATCTATATGCATATCTAGGCAATTACTCTTTCTTTCACAAATGTATGTAAACAGGGATATTTTATTTACACTTACACACACGGAGGTACACGTAACACGTTCTCCAGGGAGATAACATATTGTGTGATAAAAACATCAGGCAGAGATTTCTTTTCGTTTCCCATGCGTTTTGCTTTCATTTTTATGCAGTCAAATACGTCCCTCTTTGCTCTGGTTGATATAAAACCCGTTCGGCATTGACACGAAACGAAGATGCTTACACTTTCTAGCTCATCTTTTTTTTATTTTGAAATTTCAAGGTACCGCATAGGGCTGCAAAAGTCATCTCTATACTCACTCGTAACAAGTCGGACAAAAAAGAAAACAAATACAAAATAATATAAAAATATTCATAGGTATTGTGACATGCATTCAACATCATTGGGGAGTTCTTTGGTTAAATCGAGTCCTTTCGAACGTGGGGTAAGCCGAGTCAAATACGTTGATGACAGTGAGAAAAATGAATAAGAGTGCTTGCAAATGACGGAATAACACTACGATAGAAAGGAAACATGAGACATCTTCTTTCGTAAACTTTGGCGATATTGTTAAATAGATTGTGTCATATGAAAATATTTCGTTCACACCGAGAGAACATGCAACCAGATCTGGCAAAAACTTATGTGTTAAAAACGAATATTTAATCATATTCATAAGTTTTAAGAAAGGCAACTTCGAATAGCCTGAGGCGCAATATGTGAATTACGCTTAGGTTATATACTTTTTGAAATAACCCGTTTCATTTTACATCACAAGCAAAATAGATTTGACAAAATACATTTTGACGAAGGTTTCTTATCCGAAATTATATGAGGTTTTTTATTTAGCAACTAAGTTTTTTTTTATCAGTTTGTTCGATTCTAAATTGCTTATCATCAATGAAAACAATGAAATTTTCTTTGAAAGAAGTATGTATTTGATCAAAACTGCTTTATAGAATTATATAATGCATTTCCAAAGCGTCTGAAACCAAAATTTCACATATTCATAAATCTTTCTAATTTAGCAGAATACTAGTTTCCATGAATGTCTTTTGATTTGACAAGTCAAAGGACATCCATTATCTATCCTTATCCTCATAGTCTTGACTTCTTACTATCTTTTCTTCCAATCATATCACACAACTGTTTCATTATTACCATTTTGTCTATAAAACTCTATCTCGGCAAGTTATCGAGCTTTGAGTTGGGCGAACTTTAGTCAAAAAACAAAGGAAGAAAAATAAGCAAAAAAAAATAAAAAAAAAATAAAGAAAAATGATTAGTGAGGTAGGTTTCCTAACGACAGATCTAGATCAAGTCTTTTATTTAATTATATTCATGCATCATAAATAAAAGATTGTGGATTGAATGCAAAAAATAAAAAGAAATCAAATATTTACAGAAAAAAAATGAAAAAAAAAAACATATTCAGAGACAGTGACTCAATAACACATTTTTCTCCGTCTTCCCTCTTCCAAATCTCACAGCCTATAAAAAAAATAAACCTCTGTTGTGACGTAGCAAAGAAATTAGTCAAGCAAAAACTGCCAAGAGACATCTCAGAAAATAAAGAAACCTGAAAGTGGATAACGACAAAAACAACCAATCAAGAAACAATATTAAGAATGATTAATTTGCGTGCAGCCATAATAAAAAGATGTCACAACAGATCCCAAGTCGTTTCTCTGGTTTAACTGGTTAGTCGGTCAGAGGGCGGTCAACAGATTATAATTTTATAAGAAGATGGCGGATACACACGTTAAATGGACTAAAGCTTTATATCCGATTTCGGGAGGTGAATAAATCTGACTTCATTGTCATTATGCATAAATGCTGGAAATAAATACATCTTCATACCATTTCGCGTACGCTTGTTCGTTACTGTCAGCCACCTACTTCAGGATCAAACAGCAGCCATAAGCCATAACCGAGAGAGATCTGTATGCGCATAGACTGCGTGAGACTACCATGAGCACATCGCAAAACCAAGCCAATGGGTACCGAAGCAAGACCTTCAAAATCGACCTGCCAAAATATATTAATAGATATCTGTGCTCGGTGGCGAAAGGAATGAATTTTGGTTGATGCCATTTGTGTTCATTTTTCATTATTGCCCTTGGAGAGGGATACATTCATTCGCTAGGTATCATGACAAAAGATACTTTTGTCGCTGGTTAGTTTGACGGAAAATTAGTGGACTTTGAGCACTTTGGGACAAATTATACTTCCAAAACTATCTTATCCCAACTTCAGTCACTATCCTGCCGCCGTAACGTAGCTATTTTCTATAAATACTTTCATGGTAATTGCCACGAAGAACTTTATGAATTTAAGCGCAGTACTAGATCAGGGCCTCATCATTTTACAATTGGCTAGATGTAATAGTAAGTTCTATGTTAACAGGTTCTTCTATCGCACTTCTCGCTTGCCAAACAGTTTCAATCTTTAAATATTTAATGCAGTATCAGTCGTTATTTTCTGTCTTCACTGCCTTGCTTGTTGTGAAATAATTTGAAAATAATGTAGTAGTGGCAATAAAAAAGAAGAAGTTGCAACCATAATCATCATTGTTTACGTGAGTCAGTAATCAATACGTCTTGTTTATTTTCCTGTAAATCATCTGCCATTTCATGTGAAATAATCTAACAGTTTACTTACATTGAGAAATCACTCACGGAATTAATTTTATGTCATATAAAGAGAAGGAAGAAATGAAATTTGCTTGAAAGATAATATTAATTAGCAGAAATAATCTACTTATATTGATTTTAATAAAGAATATAATTTTTCAGTTAAATAAATTTTTATTTGATTGTTTTCTAGTCATGAATTTTTAAATGTATAACCTTTATCGTTTTAGTATTGCGTCAAGTATTATAAATATCTTTAGAAAACTATTATCTTTAGGAGATGTAATCGATTCCTGATATCTTTCTAAAATACTGACAATGCTAATCTATCTCATAGATTTGTCACCAAAATACTATTTAAATGTATGAGCACGTGAACAAGTGGTTAGACGTTTTCTTTCAGCCCATGTTCGAATCTCGTCATGGTCGATTTGTTATTGGCATGGGGACGCGATCCCAGCTTGCGGCACCGTTGGAAAGTTCCCGAAAAGCATACCACGGGTTGGCCCAAGGCTTTTGAGTGACTAATATAATAATAATCATAATATTAATAATAATAATAATAATGATGATAAGAAGAGGAAAGAAAAGAAGAGGAAAGAAAAGAAGAGGAAAGAAAAGAATAAAAAGAAGAATAAGAAGGAAAAGTATAAGAAGAAAAAGAAAAAGAATAAGAATAATAAAAAATTAATAATAAAAAAAATAAGTAGGATCAGAAGAACCATATATTTTTTTCATTGTCTTATTATTATGGTTCATAAGAATAAGACAATGAAAAAAATATATAAAAAATATAAGCAGAACGTTG